ATTTAACTTTTTTTTTTTTTGTTTTTTGATTTTTTGATTTGTTTGGAATGGTCAGATGAAATGTAATATAAGGAAAAATTACAACATTATAAGGAGGGTAAACATAACTGTTGATTATCAAATTTCACTTGTTGTCCAAATGCTATTAATGCAGGACATAAAAATGACTGCTCTAAGGTTTAGGTCATAAGTCTTAGAGTTTACTCTTCTTGTTTTGACTTTATTTTTTTGCTTAGTCTAGATTATATGCTGTTGTCATAAACCTACCTAGTCGACCATAAATTCAATTATAACAATTATACTTTGTCAAGGTTTAAAAACGGTTCCATTCCTATTTAAAAAAGAAATAAAAGAAAAGTGTAAATAGCCATTTTTTTTCTTCAACTTACCTTTTCAATTTACTCTCATTATTAAACAAAACGTTTTTTTTTTCCTCCTTCTGTCAACAACTGCAGAGATCACCGACAGAAATCGGTTTTTTTTTTGGATCTAATAAATGGTCCACTTTTTGGTGTTCAAAAAAAATTATTCAAAAACCAGTAGCTAATGCCAGCCAATTCTTTACGGCTATATTGTTAAGTCCAAACCAATGATTTGATCATCACTGACCATCTTAGATACGCAGTTACAGCAAACCACTCAATTAACCCAGAAAATTTAATGCTTATTTGTCCTGCTGATATTCAGCTCAACTACAGGAGAACACACTAAACTAACAGCTGAGAGTGTTTCCTTTTGAAAAGCATTTGAAGGCTAAACAGCCCGAGAAAAATTCCCAATTGAAAAAATTTTTAGTTTATTTAGCGATTAAAAAACCAAATGATGTCTTTTTCTTTTTGAATACTTGCTGCTATAAGTTTTTTCAGTGATTTGCAGTTAAATTGATTAAGTTATGAGAACAGCAAAAAGATGTAAACTAAGTAGCCGCTAATATTTTGCTTTACTGATTCAGCTGACTTAAGTGAGATTTAATTAGTGACTTGGAAATGTAAACTACTTGTTGTCAACTTTCGTGTCGCTAAGTTTTTCTTCTCAAAAATCCTTTTTTTTTTTTTTCTTTAATAACTGCTAATTTGATTTTCAAATACATCTGCAAAGCTGTCTTATTTTCTTATTGTCAAGTTTACGGTTTTTTGGCAACAAAAAGAAGTAGAATCATTGTTGCAAAACGCAGCGATAGACTTGAAATAATTTTTTTGCTAGTTCAGAAAGCGGTAAGAACAGTGAATTCTTAATTTAAAAATATGCTCAATTCTTACTGATTAGTGTACAGATTTTGAAAACAGAAACTATCTATCAGAGACCGGTTTATCCAGTCAGTGGCTCAGTTATTATAACTATCATAGATGGTTTTGCACGCAGCGACCTGAAAAAACCGAATCCTTTTGCCGGTGTCTGCAACACTAAATTAAATTGGGCTGCAGTATTTGGTCATCTGACACGTTTTTCTAACCGTAACAAGAAAAAATAAGGAAACTTTTTTGTTTTAGTCTTCCACTGTCTTCTGGAAATGATTGCTTAGTCAACCTATCAGTTTTTCAAAGCACTACAGGTCTTCCAAAATTACGTTGCAAACATTTTGCTGTATTCTGAAATTACGTCCTCGTCAAAGTTACAGACTTTAGCCTAGCAAAAAGGCCGTTTTGACGAAATATAATAAATAATCTGGGAAAAATTTACCGTGGGACAGAAGATTTCAGCTTAGGTTTTTGTTACTTACATTAAGATCGATTCTTATCAATTAAAAGCATTTTGATTATACAGAAACAAAAGTAACACTAACCTTTTCAGTACTAAAACTTAAAAAAGCTTATTTTAGTTGAAAATTATTTGCAAAAAAAAAAATTTTCACAGAAGAGGAGCAAAAACTAAACAAGAAATTTTTTTGTAGAAGAAGAATTTTTAGGCTTAAAAACATTACTTGCAATTTTCATCATTACTTTAACTGTGTACCGTTATGCCTGTAAATGTCAGCTCATTTAGATAAAAGCTTTAGAATCAGATGAGCAAAAAGTGATGCTTTTATAAATTCTTTCTTTTTTTACACAGTTAATAGGAAAAAAAATTATTTGTGCGTATTTGCGGGCACATAAATGTTTTAGTAATCTGAAAAATTCGTTTATTTAATATAGCAAAAATAGCTAAATCTAGTATCTGATCGACAAAAAATTTGGCAAAATTTTTACACTGCTGCTATTTTTAATTTTCAAATATAAATTCTAAAAATAAAAGATTTTTTCCTGTATTTAATTCTTTTAAGATATATATTTTGAAGATTTTTCACAACAGTAGAGTGTTTTTGGTAATTTAGGTAGCTTATATTAAGTAAGCAGATTTGTAAAGCAAGTCTGTTTAATAGAGCAAAACCACTTAATTTTTTGTTGCTGATTAAGCCTAAAGAAAATTTGAAAGTTTGAAAAATTAGAAGAAAGAATCGATGACTGAGGAACCAAAGAAGATGAACTAAAAAGTGCTAAACTATCTAATTGATTTGAGCTCAAAGTGTCCAGTTTTATAAACACATTTTGCTTCTTTTTTTATTTCCAGTTTTTAGTTGATTGCACCTAAGCTCTAAAACAGAAGAGATTTGGAGATAAAAACTTATGCTAATACAGCACTACAAATTTTGAGCGTTGAGTCATACTAAAAGATGGAGTCTTCTTGAAGAACGTAAAATTAACAGTTCGGCAAAACAGCAAAGACTTTCAGATAAAGCTAATCAGTTCCGCTGTAGGAGTGTAAGTTTGAAAGTTCCAGTTTTAATTGACCACTGAAACTGCTCTCAATTACAGAGGTTATAAAAGAATAAACTCTTTCAATAACCAAAAGCTTAAACTTTTTTTTACCGAAGTAGTAGAAGTAAAAAAAAGTGGCAATGAGTCTACCAAAGGCTAAATTTATGTCTCAAATTAGTAGACATTTGATTTCGATAATCTTCGAACACTCATCGACAAATGTGTAACTGCGGTACCGCTAAGATTTGAATTCCTTCTTCGTTTATAACCAACAGCTTTGGTCTTTAAAATTGTTACAAGTTTACGACGAAATGTTGCGCTGCTAAGACAAAAAAGGATAAAGTTGAGACTTTTGCCAAGAATGACCAAAAAGGCTGTAAGAGTGTGCAAATAAGCCCATTTACGGTCTAGTCCACGTATCGCTGTTGGTTGTTCACGAAACAGCGTCAATGTTTGAACGATTGCTGATGGTGCCTTAAAAAAAAGTTGTTTTCTTTTTTTTTTAAGAAATAATATTTTATTTGCCAAATGTTCAGACAAATAAAATTGGTTTAATCGTTTTTAGTATTTAAGATATCTGAATAAAATTCTTTAATTGTGTAGCATTTACTGTTTCGGCACCAGTTGTTGTTGTAATGAATCTATTATCGTTCGGGAAAGAGAACTAAGATTACAATTTTTGTAATTTTACATTTCTCTATAGCTTCTGCTTGTTCTCTTTTACATTTAGCTCGTTCTAGATATACAACAAAAATTTTCCTTGATTATTTTTAGTCAGGTATTTAATATAAACATACTTGCGTAATGGTAAAACATGTGACAATAGCGCATACGGTTATTGCAATTCGATGTTCGGTTCTTTGTTGGTTCAGCTGAAAGAAGCAGTTTCAATTTGCTGCGCTGTCTTCATTTTTTTTTCCAGTCCTAACCTTTTATTGCAGGCTATAAGGCTTTTGGAAAAAAATCGTTTGAAAGTGATATGTTTGATAAATTAAGC